AACCTTATTTAAGAAATTTAAGAAAAATTAATAAATTTCTCTGATATATCACTCTTATCACCTGTTATTAAAATTAAGAAAAATTAAAGAAATTACTATTTATACCTATTTTTTCTATTAATATCTCCCTTCTATGTAAAAACATTATTTTAGCTGTTTGTCATATAACAGTTGTATAGCACCTAATAATATTGATACATGAACTTGCTGCGATAATAGAAAAGACAAATTTTAATTGAATATTGTGTATTAATATCATCATTATCATTGTACTTTATAGTAAGGAAAAAGTAAGTAGGAGGTACAAATAGCAATGCCCATCTCAGTATCTAAATTAATAAAATGTAAAAGGTATAAACAGCAAAATGAGGTACAAATAATATTGCACAAAATTAATTTTATCCAAATATGTCGAATATAAAATTAGCTGCGTATCTAATTCATTAAATAAAAAATTTAAGAAAACATTATAATGAACATAATAGATAAAAAAGGTGTAATTTAAAATAAATATTCCCAGAAATGTCGAATACAAAATCAGCAATATCCACTATCTATTAAGCTACTAAATAAAAGACAGATATACTGTATTTAATATACAATTCTTTTGGATGAATCATATGCAAAATTGTAATACCTCTGTCTACTAAATTATAATTAATCAATAATAAATTTTTAATTTCATGTGCATGAAGTCTAAAATTAAAGAAAATTAAAAAATTAAAATTATATTAAAAAATAATATTAACACATTGTCCAGGATAAATACAAGACCTGCTAAAAATTGTAAAATAGAAGCACTTACGAATTTCTATTGCAAATAATTAGCAAAGCATATAGCAAATTATTAGTATATTATTTTATCTGCTATAAATATAACCGAATTCTACTGTAACAAACTGTCATACTAAATGACTAATTCAATTACTTTTTTTCTCTTATTTCTATTTAATCTATTCTAATAATTAATAATATCTGACTTCTATTTTCTTTTCTTTCTGATATTTAATAGCATTAGACTTCTTTTTTTCCCTATTCATTTCTTGAAATGCAAGCCCAAACTACATTGGAATACAATAAATTATATATTTACAAATCTTCACAAAACCAATACCAAATATTTTGCAATGCATTTGCATATGGCCTTATGGTCATCATAGAGAATTCTATGTACTCAAAAGAGGTAGCATATAAAGAATCCATTAATGTATGGAAAGAAATTAAAAATAAGCCCAAACACCAGATCGAAAATATTATAGAAAACTTAATTATAAATACTATCTCTACTATACAAGACTTACTTTCTGCTCAAAATTTCATTGCTGCTCCTTTAGTTCAGAATAGGATAATTGAGAAAACTGTTGCTCCAAGTACATTACTACTGAATGCTGCAGTACAAATAAAGATAACAGAAGCTATTATTAAAATAAATAATGAAATTGCAGAATGCCAAAGAACCCATAATACCACAATCGATCTAGAAGTTAAATTCAAATTAATAGAACACATAGAAAGTTTTAAGCAAACTCTTCATAACGAGAGTAGAAAACTCTAAAGCCTTAAAAAAAAAGCTGAATATCAACAAAAATATTGTGAAAAAAAGACAAAAACTTACAAGAAAATTAACAAGTAGTTAAATATGATTCTTCTGAGTATCCTCCTTTATTGTTCAAATATTCAGACTTGCTTGAACAAATTAATAACAGTATTGAGTTCAGAGCTACTGATAGCAAAAGGAGAAAAGAAACAATAAAAGTTAGAACTATAAACCATCTACATGATGAATTAGAAAAAAATTATGATAAACATATCTCTTATACTACTATATACAATTACTTAATGCTGTGTCATCAAAATTCTATTGCAGCAAAAAAGAATTATCATCTGACTAATGTTCAGGTTAATATTGTATATTTTGATATTCAAAATCTTTTCTGAATTATATATGTCTATGTTCATATTCTATCTTCGTATAGTTTAAAATTACATATATAATTATAAGGGTGATACCAAAAAAAAAAACCAGTTTTTGATTATACTTGATTGAAGTCAAGTTTTCCCTTAGCATAGAGTTGTGGGCACAGTATCACAGGGCATGCTTTAGAGGCATGTCTAGAGTATTCTTTTTTTAAAAATTTACATATGTAAAAAGTATCATACAAAAAATTTTAAGGGCATCCCTATAGAGCATGCCCAAAAATTTTTCTGTGCTCACAATCCTACCTTAGCATCACTCATATATAAAATTAAAAATTAAAAATTTATTATTTAGAATATTAAATTAAAAAAATAAATTAAATTATTAATTTTTTTTAATATATTTATATCTTTTATTTGTTAATAATGTTGTTTCAGGTCACATCTATCTTAAGAAATGAAATGAAAGAATATCAGGACAGTCATTATTGTCTTGTCTCTATCAAGGTGACAAGACAACTTGCTGCTCTATTTCCAACCTTTTCAGTAATTGTATCATAGGATAATAAGGCCAAAATTTCACTTGGCATTCTTGCAGTTAGCAAAACTTTCAAAGCCATACAAAGTGCTAATGAGCTAACAATTCTTCCAGATCATGATTTCCCTATTAGCTTGTAGCAGAAACTTATCTCCTCTGTTTATCTCTTGATTGATCCGAATGATACAAATAACACCCTTAGAAGTGGCCAACTGTTGATATATATTCGTTCGCAATATGAAATAGGAACAAGTTCTATAACACATATGAGCGATCTATATTCATTAGCAAATAATAGCTATTTTGATAATAGTCTTAAAATTGATAATAAAATTAGACCTATCTGAGTTCTAATTGTAGATGAGAGCCTAGATGAGAACCTCTGCCATTTAAAAAACATTTACTAATATTGTAGAATATTTTGTTCCTTTGATTTAGACTACTTGACTGTTAGAACCCATGCTTCAGGTTAGTGATCTAAAATTGACAAATTATTTAGTAAACTAGTTAGTTGATTAAGGGTGTTCTCAAGCATCTAAATTAATAGATCAAAAATCAGGTTTTAATTAGCAGAAAATAATTTAGCCGATTAAATGAGTTCTTCATCGCAATGAAAAATAAAAGATAGTCATCACTCAATAGACCTAGAGTAAAATTTTAATTAGTTAAAATTTGAATAAACTAATCAAGAGAGTTATTATTTTGATGAATAAAACTTAGAGCTGCGACCACTAATTTTTTTTATAGAGTTTGCTCTAATTAGCTAAATTTAAAATCTGCAATTTGTACGATGAATTTTTAGCATATTGTTACCATTTAATTGTAATAATTATTTCAATTAATAGTAATGCTTGAGTAGCATTCTCAGATCACTTTTAAATCATATTGAGGGTGCTACTTGAGAATGCCTTTAATATTCGCATTCTGCACTATAAGTCTTCTACAATATTGCTATAAGAATTATTTATAATGCTTGTGCATGATATAGATTACATTGAAGAAGTTAATTGAGAACACCCAAAAATACTTTAACCAAATAAAAGTTTAACTTAGGCCAAAATTATAATTTCTGCTAAAACACTAGTTAAAATTAAAAAAAAATTCAAATTTCCGAATAGCATAATTTGAATGCCATTCATCAAGTTAAATTTTTTTTTTTAATTTTAATTAGTGTAAAATAGTAATTAGCTAAAATTATAATATTGATTATTGGAAATGATGCTGAAATTTGGGGTCTTGGTTTAAAAATATAAACTCTACTAAAATCTACCTATATTACTTTAGGTTAATCGGCATATAATCCTGTTGAAAGGAGCATGGCTTCACTTTCAAGCAAGCTTGTGGGTATAGTTCTACCTGTAGACAATTATAGTTTCTATCTTAATTCACAGAGTAAAGTTATCGATCTGGAGCTTGCGAAAAAAAATTTCAAATATGTGAGTAATCTTCTTTGTGATTTATGAAAATGAGACCTCATATTTGGAAAGCCAGTTATAACTGAGTATGTTGACATAGAAAACAACTCATTTTCAAATATTGAGTTTCCAGGGTTGGATAATAGCATTAATAATTCTAGTGTACTCTGGAAATGGATGGAAATATATACAAAAATTTGTAAATACTCTTTAGATGTCAAAAAGTATGATGACATTATATGTTGCTCGCCTAAATGATGCAATAAGGCTAGTGATCTTCTTGCTGCCAATAATAGCTTTCTTCCACCTCTTGTAATGAGAAAAGATAGCTATTATGTTAATATGATCCATCTATTAGAGTATTACAACAAGAAAAAAATACTAGGGTATGATAAACATTATCTCTCTGTATCTAAAGACAATTACATAATACTCTCTTGTCCTGTGTGTAAAAAATATTTTCCAACAGCCTTAATAGCTGTTACCTATAAAAGAAACTAACATTCATATTTAGTTAAACGTAGAAGGTCAAAAAAAAATACAACCAAAATTGCAGCTACAAAAAAATAAAAAACCAAATAAAAATTTTTGTAAATTTATTTTTCTTTGTTTTAGAAATAGTTAAGTAACTTAAAATACTCTAAATTTTATAATAGTATTTATTTTAAATAGCTCTAACCCTCTTATTTAATAAAACTTAGATTAAATAAAAGAAAATAATTTTTTTTTTATTTTTTGTAATATTTTAAAATTATAAAAGATTAATTCTAATATAGAAAAAGCAAAGAACCGTATTAGCAAAACTTTTACAAGCACCTGATGCCTTACCCTTATATTTTTTCTAAGATCTCATTAATATCTCAACCAAACTACATATCTCTATTAAAAAAGCTTTTGCTTTCATTAATTAAATCTTGTAGTTCAGTAAAAAGTTACATATGTTCCAAGAATTAAGATCTATATATTTTTATAATTTTAATATCTTTTAAATTACCAAATGTTATAACTTATTAGTGACTTTCATTAACTTTGTATTTAAGAATTATTTACCCTATTATTAACTAACAAGTGTGTAAATCTTTTAATAAATATCTGATATTGAGTAGTATTCAGGAACTAAATTCTTATGTAAAAGAATGATCTATAATTAGTAATAAGTTAAGAAATTTGATAAAAAAAAACATTAGATATAATTCTCGTACTAAAATAAATGATGTATTTCAACCTCTTTTATTGCATCTTTCATGAAATTACCTCTGAATAAATATCTAATTGACTTAAAGACAAATAATCGGCCAGTGCTGGTATCTTGCACTAGACAAACAAATGAAAAGCTACTAAAATAAAAACAATTATTTAACAAGTCTTTTTAATAACGTAAAAATTAAGAAAAAAAGTACTCTTCACTAAGCAATTTGATTACTTGAAAAGTTCAAATATCGGATTTGGAAAACAACAGAAAGTATCTAAAAAAAAGATATTTAAATAATTTTTTGTAGCTGAGATTTCTAATAGTGATAGTAATTTGTAGATCTACCTCAGATGGGTGTTGCAGTAGTGCAGCACTATTAGCTATATCAGATATAATAATTTATATATTTGTTGATCATTTTTATCATAGTAATTTTTAGTCTCTTTAAAACATTCTAACTCACGCACTAGTAAAGCAAATTCAATTCTGTAACTTGCAAATGATATTAGAATTATTAGTTTTAAAATGATATTCAGATATTTTTTTTTAAAATTTATTTTGTTAATATAATTAAAAAATCAATAGTTGTGAATTTTAATAGTAAAATGGTTACGATTTACAAGTTTATACTATAGAAGCCCAAAATATTTACATAGAATTCTTAAATATCGTAACATAATTTTATAGCCACATTGCTTAGATATTATTTATAAGTTACAAATTGAATTTGCATTACTAGTGTGTGAGTTAGAACATTTTAAGTATAAATTTAAATTAATAATACTGTATTGATATTATATATATCATACTTAAATCTATATTTAAAACATTCTAACTCTTGCACTAGTAAAACAAATTCAATTCTGTAAATTGTAAATGATATCTAGGCAATATGGCTATAAAACTATGTTGTGACATTTAAGAATTATATATAAATATTTCAGACTTCTATAGTATAAACTTGTAAATCATAACTATTTTACTATTAAAATTGATCTTTTAATTATATTAACAAAATAAATTTAAAAAAAAGTCTCAATATAAGTTTTAAAACTACATGATTCTAATATCATTTGCAAGTTACAGAATTGAATTTGCTTTACTAGAGCAGGAGTTAGAATGTTTAAAGATACAACAAATATGCCAACCAAATTATTTAATTATGATTATTAATCGTTTTTCCTTCTAGAAGGCTCGAGAAATATAGAAATATAAGTTAGCAATGAGTTGACAATGAGTAGGTAATAAGTTTTAACTGTCAAATTTAAAATAATATACTTTTTATACCTATATATATAATGACTCTAACATAGTTTTTTTTTGTATTAGTACAGTACAAACAAAAATTACTATAGAAACTATTATTATTTACTATTCGCATACTTAAAATATAAAATAATGTAATTAAACTTATGTTTAAAAGATTTTTACGAATTTTTTATTAAAAACAATGTAAATATCACCTATTAGTTATTCTTATCGCTGTTTACTTGTGTTGTTATTATCATAAAGTATTATATATCACATGAAATGAGTTCGCGCTTTTTTGAAATTGGATCTAAATTTAAAAAACCCTGAATTACTATTAAATTATTGTGATTATTAATAATAACTACATGTCAACCACATGACACATATATTAAAATAATCTTAAATCGAATAAAACTAATATAGTTATAATATCACCTTCTGTAAAATTTATATACTATTAATAATAAAAATATGATAGTTAATCATTTAACTCATATTAACACATTCGTCAAATATGCATCATAAATTTTAGAGTAGTATAAAAATACACTGTAATGATCAGCTCATAAAAAAAATTTACAAACACAGACTAATTATATTAAAATATATACACATAAATAGATAGATACATATAGAGTAGAAAAAGTGGTATTCACTATTGAAACAAACCTGACTTACTATCTGTAAACCCAAATTCATATCAATAATCAATAAACCAAAATATGCTTTAACAAACTAAACTAAATTTTAAAGTATATCTTAAGTATAAATCCAAATCTCTTATGTCAATAAGCTTATGTCTTATCTTAAATACCTGACTTGAAATCTAATCTTAAAAAAATAGATGCTATTTTGTTAGTAGTTATTTTTGTTTTAGTTTATGTAAATTTAGACAAAGTTTCTTTCTTTTACCTTTTTTAGAGTGTCGTGTCTAAGCTAACTTCTCTGGATTTAAGATTATATAAAAGATTAATTTTAGAGTTACTAAAAATAATATTTTTACTGATTTTTTGCTTATATAATTTTATATTCAAAAAAAGTACTTTAAAGTATATAAATAAGTTACCTAATTAGACAAACTTCTGTCTATGAAATTCAGTACGTGCTATAATACAACTGTTAGCTACTATGCTACATAGAACTATTATATCATAATCTTTTGAGTGTTAACTGTTAGTTATTACACTACACGAGACTATTATGATATAATCCTGTGAGAAAAATAGTTAACCGTTAGCTACTATGCTATATGAGACAGTTAACTAACTATTTGATAAATCAAGCAGGAGGTTTTAGGAGGTTTCAAATACCTAGATCTGAGGAAAAGGCTATATTTACATAATAAGTGTTAGTTCCTATATCAAATTTTAAAATATCATAATTAAAAAATTTTTAATTGATTTGATTAGTTAATAATGTTTTGATTATCATATGTAACAAAATTGAATTTTGTAACAATATTGAATAGAGTTAAATCTGCTATATGTTA